GGTCAGTGTTGAAGGCTGACTTGATATTGTGTTTGTGGAGAATTTTGCTGATTTTATCTGTGGTGCCCAACTGAACTTTGAATCCATTATTTTGACCATAAAAATACACTGTCTTCCTTACTTCCCTCCCCCCCCCAAAAAAAAAAATCTGTGAAAGGGAGATGTTGATAGTAGTGTAAACACTCCTAAATTTACCTTGGATAATGTTGGGAAATTCCAGCTAGGCAGGGAGGAGGATTCAAGCAGGTCACTAGCCTTAAGTCCTTATGTAGCTGCAAGAGGCACAACCCTGACACATCCCCCTCCCCCAATTAAATTCCATGAAACTTTATCTGGACCAGTGGCGGGTTGCTAATTATTTTACTACCGGTTCGGATGTGCTCCTGCGTGGGTTTGTGCACGCTGCTTCTGCGCATGCACAGAAGTATCCAGACAGGTGGGCGGGGCCTCCTGCTACCACTACTACCGCTTCATCCGATGTGGGCCAAACCGGGAGCAACCCACCTCTGGTCTGGACATTCCCAAAGGAAGGCAACCAGTCTGAGGAGATTTTTGTAATACAGGTAGAATACAACAAACTTGCTGATTTTGAACCTTTCACGAGTGGATCTGGTTACTTGTGCCTGATATGCAAGCAAGGTATAAATGTTCTGAACATAGCTGTTTCAGTTTTGATGTGATGCATTAACATCAATCTCATGCATTGTTCTAAATGAGGACAGTCAAGAGGCAATTTATCAGAACACATGCAAAAAGAAACAGTGAAGGTGTGGCAATTGTTCCAGTTTTGATGTGACAAGGATATAACAAAGATTGTTTTAAAGGAAGAAAGCCAAGAGGTATAATTTCCCAGAACACATACAAAGGGAAGCATTGAAGGTTGAATCAACTCAAAGCAAACTGGGGAAAATGAAAGTAAACAGCAAAAATGTGTTCACAATACAGCATAAAACAAGACAGAAAAGAGGTTACAAAATACTCAAACTTCAGGCTACTTTCTCCTGGCCTCCTACCTCCTACCAGCTTCTTGCAGGTATTTGTGCACTCAGTGCAAATCATGGCAGGAGGAAAACCAATGTATATATGGCTTGATCTCTGTCTGCTTCCCTACGTGCCAGGACCTGCACAGTTAGAATGCTGACTCAAGTGGAAGCCAAGATAGAGGTAATTTTTATGACAATAGATGGGCAGTGGAAGGGTGGGTGTGAGAGTATCATTTGGAGAGATTATTAATTGCATATTAGCAATAGCAATAGCACTTAGACTTATATACCGCTTCCCAAGGCTTTGCAGCCCCCTCTAAGCAGTTTACAGAGTCAGCATATTGCCCCCAACAATCTGGGCTCTCATTTTACCAACCTCGGAAGGATGGAAGACTGAGTGAACCTTGAACCTGGTGAGATTCGATCTGCCAAACTGCTGGCAGGCAATTATCTGCAGAAGTAGCCTGCAGTATTGCACTCTAACCACTGTGCCATCACAGCTCATTAAATGTTCCATTTTAATAAAGGCTGCATAATAATGGCATTTTTAATATTTTAACAATCCCTGTGACATGAAGGTTATGAGATGCTTATATTACTTTCCGCATTCTTAAGACATTGGTTTAAATTAAACCTATTGTAATAGATTGCTCAATACACAGATAGAACATTAATTTTCTTGCAGGGTTTCTATTACATTTTATTATTCTTTCTCCAAAGCAAGTTGTGTTGCAGGTGGTGTAGCATGAATAATAGTGTGAAATATGGATTAAAGACTAGGATCTAGAACAATGTTTCTCAACCACAGTGACATTGAGATGGGTGGATTTCAATTGCAGGCTGGGGGATTCTGTGAGTTGAAATCATATCTCTTGAAATTGCTGAGCATGACAAACACTGATCTTGAAGATCCAGATACAAATCCCCCATCACCTTAGTAATTTTCTGGGTGAGTTTGGGCCAATCACTCTCAGCCCGATTTATGACACAAGGTTATTACAGTGGGAGGAAATCAGGAACTAGGAGTATTTATATACAGTATGTTATTTGAGTTTTTGAACAAAAACAAGGATATGAATAAGAAATAAATACTTTTATGAACAAAACAAAATCCTGTTGATGACTTATAATACATGGGAACTAAAATGATTAAGCAATTATTCATTGTACTGGAACATATGAAGACATTCCAGTAAAGAATTACCAAGTGAGAGGACAGCCACAACATTAATGATGTATTTGAATTAATGGAAAAAAAATGGAGAGACAAGTAGAAAAGTGCATAAAGGACAGGAAGAAATGAAATCAGTTTATTATAGCTGAACTCAGCTGAATTGAGTTTTTTATTGTAAGCTACCCAGGGTCATTAAAGTGAGATGGGGGATGCAGAAATGTGTCAAATAAATTTAAAAAAATAGGACTGGTACCTATAAAACCTGTAACAAGTTAATGACAGTGTAGAGATCCTAACTCCGTCCCACCAAAAATATCAGTAGTAATAAAGGAAGTCAATGACTCAGTCAAAGGTTTTGACTGCCATAGATGTCATTGATGGATGCAACATCCTTGTTCTAATAATGGCTAGTGTATATAAATTTACAGAAGTAACTGTCAACTATTGCTTAGTAACTTTAAACATAAAATAACCTGCTTGGGTTGTGGGGGGGGGGACATCATTTATCTAATTGACCAGTGGATGAAACTCATTGGAGAGTAGAAACATCTTGGCAATCAAAAAATAGATTCTCAAATGCTTTCTCTGATGTCGTTTTCATTATTTATATATCTGAAGTACCGTGGTCTGCCTGTATCTCATATGCAGGCCTCTAAACATTTGCATCAGTTTGAAAACATGTTTCTCGATAAAAGAAGCAGAACTGTTACTATCTACTTCTGAAGCAAAGCAACCCCGTTTTCTTAATCTGCTTGTTAAACCTGCTTACCCTTCTGGACACTGAGAAGCACTAGAAGAGGCACACTGATCTTTCAGCCATGATGTTTCTCCTGAAAAACACATATGAGAAGATGGATTTCAATTACTGACATTTAGATTAAAAAGAGAGACAAAGAGGTTATCTTGGTTCATCTTTAGGAAAGTTAAATGAATGAATACAAATCAGTTAAGTCCACAGATGCACAATATATTCTATTAGCTGTATGGTTAGGAAATTAACCAAACAAATTTGTTTCTGAGGTAAAACGAGAGGTATGAATATGCCTGACTAAACTTTGCTGTAACCCAGATAGTTGCAATACAGTTGAGATAAAGAATAAAGAATAACTGTAACAGGACGGTAACTTTGTTGCTTGTATCCTTACGATTTATATTGATATTGTTTCCTGATTGCTCATTGTATCCTATGGCTATCATTAAATGTTGTGTACCTTATGATTCTTGACCAATGTATTTTGTCTTTTTATGTACACTGAGAGCATATGCACCAAAGACAAATTCCTTGTGTATCCAATCACACTTGACCAATAAAGAATTCTATTCTATTCTATTCTATTCTATTCTATTCTAGAGTGAAGTAAAGAAATTAAATCTGACGCAAACTGGCAGGGGATTGCCAGAAGGAAGTTAATTTGAGTGCTAAAAATCTGGTTACGCTGATCTGTAATTTTTTAAAAAAAACTCTAAGGAAATAGGATCCANAGAATCTTGAGGGATAGAAGGAGGAGGTTGTAGGAGAGGTTGTGGGAAACCTGTTTGTATTTCAGCAAATTGATGTTTTGTGAATCACTATATATAAGCCATAGTGGCAGAACATTTTTTGAAAGTGACCATAACATTAACTCAAAATTCAAAATGGAGGCCTTTCCCAATCTGGTCCTCTCTGGATGTGTTCAACTACAGAAAGGATTACAAGAGGTATCTCTTCCCAGACTATGCAAATGCACTTCAGAAACATCCCATTCTTGTTTCCCATAAAAAGAATTTGAAAGTCACTCTGACCACCAATTTTTCATAGATGGAATTTAGAGAAATGAAGAAAAAAGCTTGCCATTTCAACTGATTCTTCTTTGCTACTGCTTTTAAGTTTTTTTCTTTTTTTGTTTGTTTGCATTGGGCGTTTGAGGAAGCATTTATATTGTTTAATTTCTTATTATTGAAGGACAGGAAGCAATTCATATAAGAGCAATAGCAAATAAAATGTATACGGTAAATGACCAAGCAAATACTTACTGTAACAATAGTGTAGTGGTTTACAAAGGTTTTGGTTGGATAAACAGCTCTCATGTACTTGGCATGAGTCCCACAAGTTTCTACAATCAAATAGGACATATAAAATGAGAAATACCCATTTTTATATCGAGGGATTTTTCACATCCCCCCCCCCCCACACACTTACTAACATTTCAGTCCAATTGGAAAAGGACAAGACATTTTAGCACAAACTCATGTGGGTTTTTCCTGGAGGCATTTCCCCCCCCCCACTTCTGGAATATCAATAAGCTGAAACAGTCCTTAAACAAAGAGTGCTATATGTGGGCATGAGGATGAAATAAGCCAACTTCCATTCAGTGTAATTATAGGTAATCAATTCAACTGCTCTAGGAAGGAAAGGAATGATTATCTTATGCAGGACACTCCATCCTGTGAAAATTTGTTGCATCTTTCAAGTTGCAGAAAGTTATCATTGATTATAAATATTTTTAAAACAGTGTGCTTACTTACTAAGCTTATTAATATTGGGCATTAAAAAATCCCAGGTGTCCAAATATTCAGCCCTAAAGCCATCCATTGAAAAAAGAATAAGTGGGGACCGATCAAACCTAGAAGAAATCACAACATACATAATTTACTTTGTGTTAGCAGCATTATAGCAATTGCTTGCTAAAAAAACATTATTTCCAAAAAATTTCAATCTGGGGTATTTGTGTGAAGTGTCAAAATGTGCAACTTGAGGGTCATCATGATTCAGCAGCATAATGACAGACACCCTATTCCTTTAGGATATTTGTCATCCTGTAGATTTTCAGAGAGAGAGAGAGACTGACAGACAGACAGACAGACAGACAGACAGACAGACAGACAGACAGATCTTAGGATTTCCTTGATTTCAGGAGTACAGTGTTTTGATATAGGATGTAAAAGAATTTATAGTAATCATGAATTTCACTGGAAGCCAATCTGAATACCCTACTACAACTGGAATAAACACTAGATCAAGCTGTGTTCTGTTTCATTTCTTTTTATTCCCTGGGAGGAAAATGTTCCTGAAAAAAAAATACAATGCTGAAAGCTATACAGCCCAACAAAACTTTATAAAAGCAAACAAAAAGAGAAAAGAAAGCTTAAGGACAGGTTACACTGTAAACACGTGAAATAAAAATATTCAGATTGTAATTCAGTTTTAGAATTAGCTATGTTGCTTTTTTAACAATCAGTCAGATCAGAAATGGGAATCAGGTTTATAGTTTTGGAGAAGCCTAGTGATCAAGGTTCAGTTTCCTGTGCAGTCTGACAACTTGGTAGAGTCCAAAGCTTACAAAAATATGCTGAATATGGAAAAGTGGGTGAACAATTAGATGAAATTTTTGAATTGTTACTGGTAATGAGCCAGTATTAAAACTCATGCATACAAAATAATGAAGAGAACTTGGGATTGGTACAACAAGTAAAAGTGAAAATTTACTGCAAAAGATCGTTTAATACTCAGTGTTTCCCCAAAAATAAGACCAGGTCTTATTTTCTTTTGACCTCCGAAAAACCGTCTAGAACTTCTTTTCAGGGGGATCAAATTTTTCCCCATGAACTGTATGAAGTGGGGCCGGGGTGAGCGGCCCCTCATGCCAGCTTCCCAAAAGGTCGCAACAGGCCATCCCACCATTCATAAAACAGCTGATTCATGGGTGCCGCTCAGGCCGCCACCTTCAGTGTGGTCAATTGCATCCGCAAAAGAAACCGGAGGCCAAGCGATGCACCCCAGACGCCACACACACTCCTTACCTAATGGTGACAGTCACAGCAGGCAATTCCTTGTGGGTGCCGCTCCAGCTGCTGTCTCCAGCAAGTGTGGCCACTTTTGCGATTGATTGCAGCCACAAAAGCAGAAGGCCAAGCAATGCACCCCACGCACCTCACACTGGCCTTCCAAAGGGTACGTAACAGCAGCTATCCACATTTTTTAATTGTTATTTTGTCCCAACCCACGTGGCCTGGTAAGGTGTTAAAAGTTAACATTTCAGAAATGTTACTGTAGCTGCAGAAGTCTGCTTGTGCAATGCTCTGCCGCTGCAGCTTTGGAGCAAACATCTGCCTTCCATGCACAGGACTGTAAGACTGGAGGCTGAAGCCATGAAGACCCAAGGTGGCGCAGTGGTTAAATGCAGCACTGCAAGCTACTGCTAGATCAGCAGGTCAGCGGTTCAAATCTCACCGGCTCAGGGTTGACTCAGCCTTCCATCCTTCCGAGGTGGGTAAAATGAGGACCCGGATTGTTGTTGGGGGCAATATGCTGACTCTCTGTAAACCGCTTAGAGAGGCCTGAAAGGCCTATGAAGCGGTATATAAGTCTACTGCTATTGCTATTGCTATTGCTATTGATCTATCTATCTATCTATCTATCTATCTATCTATCTATCTATCGGATTGTTGGTTCTAATCTCACCGGCTCAGGGTTGACTCAGCCTTCCATCCTTCCGAGGTGGGTAAAATGAGGACCCGGATTGTTGTTGGGGGCAATATGCTGACTCTCTGTAAACCGCTTAGAGAGGCCTGAAAAGGCCTATGAAGTGGTATATAAGTCTACTGCTATTGCTATTGCTATTGCT